GAGTTCCCTGGAACACCGGGGACACATATTCATGTATACATGTAAAAGATGTACAAAAGTGCATTTTGCATGATAGGTCCCCTTTAAAGTAAGGCAAATACTATCCGTATGTATTTTGCTGCAGCAAAGACATTTTTAACATTAGATATTTTTTCTTTTTGTATAAGTTGGCTGGATAAAGTAACTTGTGTTGTTGTACTCTGTTTCAGCTTTGCATCTGAGAAACAACCTAATTCAGTTAGGGAATCTGAATTTGCTGAAAGGTAATGTTTTTTTTTCTTCATCTTATATCGACATAGCTAGTAAGCAACCTCAGTTTAAAATCGAAGTAAAGTTTTTAAAAAGCACCATGTTTCCGAAATATTTTATCTTGATTTGATTACCTTTTTAATTGTGTCATTGACAGAATTATTTTTAAATCTTAGGCCCAGGCTCCACGGGAACGCATACGGCAAAACGCATAGGATTAACGCAAACGCAATCGCCAAAAAGCTTCCGTCCACACGCAATATACACCGGATAGTGTCTTGCCACACGAGACAGCTCCGTTTAGATCCAACCGCTGGAAAAGCTGCAGTACATATGCCGAGCCTGTACGTGGCGCTGTAACTTCCTCCACAAAAGCAGCAACTTCCGGCATAAAAGCAGCGAAGAAGAATGGTTGTCATGGCTGCACTTCTGTTTATTCTCCTTGGTGGGGGCCGAGGGAACCGGGCAGAGTTTTTCGCCGGTCAACGTGTGTTAAAGTTTAAAGCTCCCATGTCATGCTTTTCCGGTTATTACCCGTCCCCTTGTGTGTTATGAAGGTTTTTATGCATGTAAACGGTGTGCAGAGTCAAAACCCTCAAAGTACACCCTGTAGCGAGTAAAACTCTAACACAGAAAATACCTCCCCAAAACGCCTCGTTGGAGATACGTCACTGCCCATTTGAGTCTTCCATTTAGTTCCGGGTACCGCCTGATGTCATGCGGTACCCGGAACGAAATGGACCAATCCCGAAGAGCTATGGCCACACCAGCAGCGGCGTGTTCCTCCTCCAGAGGTTCGAAGAACCGGCATTTCACAGACGAAAGCTTCCAAAACATTGCCCAGTTTGAGGCCGGATATGCACAGCTTGTTTGGACCGTTTGGAGCAGGGGAAGATCTCGGTATACAACCTGTAAGTTTGCATTGTTATTTGTGTATTTATCAAACAAGACTGTTTAAATGTGTAAACTGTGTTGGACTGCTAAGCCATTGACACAGTGCTAACTGTGCTAACTAAGTTGCTAGAGTTTCCATATATCAACTCTAATATCAGCAGATGGCCTTGCATACATGTATCTCATAGCAGGAGAATGTCTGCATTCACACACAAAATACCTATTGACAGTATACTGCGGGTGATTTGCCGGTCAGTCGCGAAACGTAATTACATTATAGCTGGCGTAGCGATCTAACACACGGAGCTTGAGCTAGTTTTGGTCAGAAAAACATTTTTGTGATGCTACGTTGCTAGCGTTTAAATATATCAACTACAATGTCAGCAGATGGCCTTACATGTTTGTCATGGCAGGAGAATGTCTGCAGTCACACACACGGAATACTCATACAGTATACTCCGGTTTACCGTACATTGTGACCGTACATATACTGCATGTAGCTAACGAGGCTAGCTGTATGCTAGCGCAAAACAATGTATTCATGCAAGTTACATTGTATGGTAGCAGAATACCCGTATACGATTGCAATTATAAACACGTTATTGCTAGCCTAATATGAACCACTAGCTTTTGTTCATAGTAGTTTTATTACACTGCATTATAGTTGCCTTTCCTCCAAGCTAACGTTCATATCGTGTTAGCTACCAAGGTAAACAAAGCTAGGTTAGCATATTAGCAGGCAAGCTGTTCATTACACAACTACTACTAACGAATCTAAAACAACTAAGTTTCTCTAATATTTTGTGATTTGCATTTGATTTCGTCCAGCCAGATCCTGGCGGACAATCCATGACGGGGAAGGGATTCTACTACTACTGAGGCCTCGTGCTAAAAGGCACCGCACCGCACCGGCTGTGCGCAGGCAAGAGGAGGAGGAATGGATGATATACCGTGTATATATGTATATTTATGTTCATTTTGTACATTTCTAAAAATAAAGTTTAATGGAAATACTTAGTAGGCCTATCCTTTCTTCCCTGAATTCATATATAGCAAACCATGATTTGATTTCTCATCAAACAGTAGTAGTTTATAACGGGTAAAAATAACTTACTCTTTGTTATGAGAGTAGCTCGTAGGCCACAACGGAAAGACAAGGAGACATACACGAGTTTACAAAACCACGGCACATTTATTGTGGTAAATGCAAAGATAGGTGGTTGAGAGGATCGCAGAGTTAGTCTTCCTGCAGCCGCTTTGGAGAGAGACTGGGGCCGTAGTGTCCGGAGGTGTCCGTGATCGCGCTGATTACCCTCTTCAGCTCCACCCCATCGTAAGACAAAGGCCCTGGGGCCGTCACACTCTTCTATAACAACAGTTAAAAATATATATGTATATAAAATATACCGCTGTACCGACGCCATGATAAGACTGATGTTACGCTGAGAGCAGCCGGGAAAAGCACTGACATGGGCGCAGCCTCTCTGGTGGTTGACTAATCAGAACGAGTGGCCGAGCTGACCAATCGGAGCACACTAGGCTCACAGGGAGGGGGGGGCAAGAGCTCCAACGAGTCGTTTAGTGGAGAAAGTGAATACTGCTGAATACACATGCTTGACAGAGATGCTGTATGCGAAACCAATGTGAGTTTGGAAAATTGCACAGTATAAATCTATTTTAGTATACCTCAACAATGTAATTATGATCAGTGGAAATGGCCATGACATGGGCCCTTTAAATCTTCCGGACAAAATTATAAAAGTGCCGGTCAAAGGTCTTCTTTGTTATTTATTGAGCTTTAAAACAAATGAATAACGACTCTATATAATGATATATAATAATAAAATACACGGAGCCTGTCTCTTTTTCCTCTCTTCTGACAGCGTCAGTGTCTGTCTCATGCAGCAGCTGATCCAGTAAGTAAACCCGACAGTAAAAATAAACATATTTATAACTAGTTTAGGTAGTTTGAGAGGTAATTAAAATAGCTAAGGGTGATGATCTGACTTGAAGTGTGTGTTTTGCTCCCGCAGCATCACAGCGGGAGGAGCTGCGTGTCTCCGTCCTGTCAGATTAGACTTCACTCGCGTTTATGTCCATATCGAGATAAAGATAAATAATCTGAATTCAGTGTGCAGTGTACTTTTGCGGGGGTGAGCAGCAGAGGTGGGGAGAGGCGGGGCTATTGCGTCGTCATTATCAGAAAAGGATGACCGTATAGGCTACCACACGGCCCCGTTGGACCCCCCAGAGCGCTCCGTTCCCAGATCTATCCACCTTTGGACCCGTTGTCGTTTGCAGGGTCCGTTTCTACCGTTCCGTTATGGCGTCGTGTAGCAAAAAGGGCTATACGCAAGAGAAATATGCGGATACAACCCGTTTTCGTTCCCGTGGAGCCTAGGCCTTAGTCTCTGTCCCTTCAGGGCAAATATCTATTGTCCCACAGGGCTCTGTGAGTGAGGTTCCTCTGGTTTCCCACACTCTGTCCTTTCACTGGAGGAACAATAGAAGTGTGTCTCATTATGCATCACTTCAGATACAATGTCTGACCTCTTTATAGAGGGACATGTTTCACTTTAGTGTTTTTATATTAAAACACCTGAAACTGAATATGTTTCCAAAAGAACGTTGGCAAAGGTGTCATTGAACGCACTTCCTCTTATACTTTCTTTCTTACGCCATTTTTATTGACATAACCTTAATTAATTTCTTAATTGAACCACATTAGTTTCACACTGACCAGGTATGTTATTGATAAGCCATTAACTGTATGTTCTGAATTGTATCAGGATTTTTCAAATCAAGGAACGTTGGGGTATACCTCTAACAATTAAAGTAAAATGAAAATTAAGAAGAGTACACAACATTTTCAGCTCTCAGTGTTTGTTTATTTAACAATGCACAATGAACAACATGAAGCATGAAAGCTTTATCTAGAGGTGATACATCACAACAACAACTTGTAGATTTCTACAAGACACTGTACTCACTGCGAGTAGAGGAACAACCGTCTTTACAAAAGACAAAAGATTTACATTTGAGGGACCAGTTATCCACGGTTGGTTACCAAAATAAATTGTAGTAAAAACTGACCTTACAAGTAACAATGTGCTTGAAAAGCAATACTTTCGATTGATTCTTAACATGTAAGAATTACATTGTCTTTGTAAAACTGTTGCATAAATAAAACCTTTTTAATTAAAAGGATAAACATATTGATCTTAAAACAGATCATTATTCAATAATCACATGAAGTGAGTGAAAGTCCATTATGGAATAATTTCCATGAAAAGGACAGTTAAGATTTCAGATCAAAATAATCAATATTAATCAGGAAATAACACAATATCAACTTTACTTGATATTCAACACATGGCGTGCATTAAATGAATAAAAGTAACACAGGAAAATTGTGAGGATAGTTCAAACTTTTTGAAACAAATTACAATCATTGTCGCTTCAAAAAGATAAAGTCTCGTATTACATATGTTTATAAAAAGAACCGTTAAAGTTTCTGATCAAAATGATCAATAATAATTTGAGGTTTACAAATGTAACAATAGTGCTGTAATCTGCCAATACATAAAGTACAGTGTATTATAATTGCAGATGCAATCAGATTTGGATCATGCAACATGCACGAGAACATGTTCTCTTTCTTAAATTGAAAGATATAGTTGCTGTCATCTCATCAGGAAATGTCATCTTGCAAAAAACAAAAACAAAAAAAACAACCTTCTGTACAAACAGAAGAACAAGTTCATAACATTTCAGAATTCAGAAGAATTCACTTCCAGTAACCTTTGACCAATATGGTCATCTCAGTTTGTCTGGTAGTAACTCCAGTCTGTAGGGGTCTACCACGGCCTCCAGGAGGCGCTGTTGACTGGACTCTTCTCTTTGTTGATGCTGGTCTGGACTGTGGAGCTCAGCAGAGAGAAGTCAGCCTCTCTCAGGTTCTTATCAGAGGAACACTGCATCTTGTTGACATGGTTCAGCAGTCTTCTCTGCTTTTCATTCTGCTGCTGCAGTCATCTCAGGACACAAACTGTCATCTCCAGGATGTCTGCTTTCTCCAGCTTGGAGTCTGGCTGCTGTTTGAGGAACTCTGGACCCAGGAGAGACTTGATCTGCTCAATGCTGCTGTTGATTCGCTCTCTGCGTAACTTCTCCACCAGAGGCTTTCTGAGCTGCAGAAAGAAGAAAAAAGTCATTAATAATCTTATTCTGGAGTTTAGGTTTGGCATGAACAAAGACAACATCTGAATGACAATATTGAAATCTTGTTGAATCTTGAATTTACCTTGTGGGTCAGTGTGAGAGTTGGTCATTGCTGCAGTGATTGTAGGTGCCATGTCTGGATCTCTGTGCTGTAGAGGTCTCTGTAGAGAGAATCTGATCTCTGCTGGCTTCATCCCTCCTATTTATAGTCACATCTCCATATGAATGTGTGGGTCTGGGTCTGACTGCAGTTTCTCACAGTCTCAGCCAATCAGAAACCACTGTTTGACAATAAGGGGTGCAGCAACTCGATAGTCTTATTGCCCCAAGGGACAATGGTTAGATCTCAGGGGAACAGGAGTACTGGGGGGGTGATGGAGAGAGACTCACAGAGCTCTGTGTGAATCTGGGAAAGTGGTGACCCTGTAGAGAGCAGATCTGCTGCCTGATGCTGGGATCAATGACTTTGACTGAGCACACGCTCATCATCTCATCACACTCATAAGGGAAAACTATTAACTGTGTATATTTAAATTAGAGCTGGGATAAAGTAAGTGTGATGTGTGATATTTCATATCTTCAGTTTAAGAAGTTTGATTATTTCCAATAATTTGGAATATCAGCATTTTTCTTGAGAAGATTCAATAAAGTAAGGCCAATACTATATATACTGTATTTTGTTTCAGGAAAGACATTTCTAAGTTGGGATATTTTCTCTTTTTGTAAAAGTCTGCTAGTTACAATTACCTGTCATGTTGTACTTTTTTTCAGCCTTGCATTTGAGAAAGGACCTTATTCAGTGTGGGAATCTGGATTTTCTGAAAGGTAAAGTTTTTTTTATACATCTTATATCCACATATGGTAGCTAGTTAGTAACCTCTGTCTTAGATTGAAGTAAAGTTTACACAGCACTACGTTTCAGATTTTTTGTTTTGACTACCCTAATTGACGTCATTGACAGAAGCATTTTTAAATTGGGAGAATAGTTAGAACCAAAGTCGTATTCAAAATAGGTTTTAATTTCAACAGCCAGAGTGTCTTTTAGGTGCTGTTTACACGGGAACGAAACGGGTTGTATCCGCTACTTTTCTCTTTCTTATAGCCCGTTCGTTCACACGAGGCCGTAACGGAACCGCGGAAACGGACCCCTAAATATGATAACGGGTCCCAAGGTGGATAGATCTGCGGACGGAACGCTCTGGGGGTCCAAACGGCTCCGTGTGTACGTCCTATACGATCATTTTCCTGATAACGATGAAGCCATAGCCCCGCCTCTCCCCACCTCTGCTGCTCACTGTCAGTAGCTACTGTCAGTAGCTACTGCTACTGCTACTGCTACTGACCATGCTACAGATGTTAGTGCAAAATCTACAGCTCCTCTACCACAACCATCAGCAACAAGTGGACATGGAGAACCACATGAACTACATGTTGCTAAATCCACCGCGGAGAATAAACAGAAGGGCAACCAGGCAACCATGGCAACCATGCTCGTGGGTCTTCTTCGCTGCTTTTGGTGTATTTTGTGTCGGATGTACAGCGCCACTTACAGGCCCGGCATATGTACTACAGCGTCTCCAGCGGGTCGAGCTGTCTCGTGTGAAGGGAAACGTTTATTGAGCCGTATCCGTGTGAACGGAATACTTTTTTGGCATCGAATTCGGTTCGTTTGCGTTTCGTTTTCGTTTGCGTTCCCGTGTAAATGGGGCCTTAGTCTATGTCCCTTCAGGGCAAAGGTCTAGATCTATTGTCCCACAGGGCTCTGTGAGTGAGTTTCCTCTGGTTTCCCACACTCCTTCCTTTCAATGGAGAAACAAAAGAAGTGTGTCTTACCTATCCCTGGGGACCTAAAAGAGGGGAATTGTTAACTTTAAAGGTTTTACTTTAAAACACCTTAAAGAGCTTACGAAATGCTATTAGCACCTGTTAGTGGGCTTGGTATATGATAGAGGTTGCATTTGTATTGTGAAATGTGCTATATCATATTTTTATTATTGATGTATTTTTAATAAATCACGATTATAACAGCATACAAAAGTTGTCAGTTCGTAACAATCGTTCGTCGCACCGGAAACATCAACTTCGGCCATTTCCGGCGGTGACGTCATGAGTAGAACACAGCTGAGCTCAGTCCTGTTTGAATGCATTGAAGGGCCAAATATTATGACAAAGGATGCACAGCAATAAGACGCCAAGAATAATCGGCAAGCGATATGTTGTCTGGGGATGTGGGGCCGTCTCAACATCTGGCTATGGGATGTTTTTGTGGCCAACAAATTATAAAATGTCACGTATATGGACAAAACAAGTGCGTCGTACGAGGCAGACTTTTGCTGGACCAGGTAACCCGGGGTCGATGAAACCGACGATTTGTGGGCAGCACTTCGAGAGATCGTGTTTCGAACAATCAACAATGCTCGCTAAGGAGAGAGAGTAAAAGCTTTCTCGAAGGTTCGTTTTGCTTTCTTACAACGTTACATTAATGTTAACTTAACCTTAAGTTTGCCATGAGGCTATGTTACTTCCCTTAAGAGCTAGCTGTCTTAGCTAACAACAGTTAGCAGCTAACGTTTTCTGCAGTTTGTGTTTCCACTGAAAAACGTGATGTAGTTATTTAAGGGTAAGTTAACTAAACGTTATCTTACAAGTAGAGAGAGTTAAGTTGTGTTTAAAATCGTCAATGTAATGCACGTTAAAGGTTTTGTGTTGAACATGAAGTTAGCTTTACTGTAGCTCACCAAAGGTTAGCATGAGCTGTACTTTATGTGGCAGCTCGCTTAATACAAAGAGGGGTTTTGTGCTTCATTGTTAACTTTTCTCACAAATGTGTGTTAATCTACCTGAAATTGTAGGGACAGTTTTTTTCTACTCAACTGTACAGACCATTGTTGAGGAGATGCAAAACATACTGTAAATGAGTTGGGTCCGACATATACTTTGAGTAATGTTAGTTTGCTGCTAAAAAATGAAACATTATCAGATGAGGACATCACCAAAGTGTGTGAGTCTGTCAGGGGATTTTATCTGTTCTCTGCATGTCGTACACACTGCTCTGGTATGAATTAAAAATATAATTGTAAAATGTAAGTCTCTCGCTCTTGTCATCGTTCAGGCTTTGCATTTGAACTCCTATGACTGGTTGCAGACTTGAAGGGAATGACTTCCTGGCCTTCCTGACATCCAGGAAAAAGGTGAGATTCTAATCCATTTCAATGCCAAAAGCAAGTAATTGTTTTTAACTTTTTTAATATGATTTTTCGGGGAATTTCAGTTTTATTGGATAGTAGAGATCTACTGGAACCTAACACCAGAGAGAGAGGGGGAGGAGATGATATGCAGCAAAAGGCCCAGCCGGATGGTTGCTGCTCCGTGTGGAACGTGTTCTATCAGGTAAAGCACTTTGGTACCCAGTTATTTATGGTATTGAGTTTGAATTTAGCCTTTGGAATGTAATTTCCAACAGTGCATTGTAAAGACTGAAAAAACATTTCTTTGTCTCTTAACATTCCTATAATAATTTGTTTTTTTTATTGTTGATATTGTTTTGTTCTTTATTTTTGTTGTGAGAATCACTTTGCAATTGTGTAAGTGCTATATAAATAGTTATACTAATATTATTGTTGCTACCATCATTACTATTATTAAAAATGTTTTCTTTGTTTTCTTTCTTTATTGCTGCAGAAAGGATCATGCCAGCCCACATCAAACACCTGATCAAGAACTTGTGAATCTTCAGGCAGAAAAGATGAAAACACCTGTTCAAAGTTCCAGTTCCCTGTACATCGAACCATGCCTGTCCTCTGTTCCACATGTCTTCAGTCTGTTCTGGACCCCATGACTCGGACACTAGTTCTACCAAGGCTCATTAGAGGTAAGCAGTGTTCGGAGAGGAGTGGAGTTATCTTTGTATTTAGGCTGCAAGTCGACAAAGGTGATCAAGTGCTGATGCTAATAATGATCCGATTAATTTGATATTGATTGTCCGCCAATACCGAATCCTGATCCGATTCTTCTATTTCCCAGTTAATACAGCTGCAGTGTACACTAGCTCTATTTGTTTTTGCCATTGTAATTCACCATAAGTAATTGTTGACTGTAACGTCTATGCCAACCAACTGTAATTTGTAATGTATTATACTTTAACGATCAAGTTCTGGCAACCACAGCAGCCCAAATGTTAACGTAAATGTCAAGTTTTCTTTTTACAGTGTACTTATATCTGTACATTTCTTTTCAGTTTGCTTGAAGAAGTGGCTTCAACAGACAGAAATGCAGGCCAGATTGGGAAAGGCTGGACGCTACACAACGGGAAACATTATGGACATGAACAAGGAATAACCAAAAACACTTTCTTTGTTGCCTTTTTCTTATCATATATAGTGTTACGGTTTTTGTTACCATTTAAATATTGAATTCTATTTATTACTTTTATTTTAAATCAAATGCACCGGTTTTAGATAATATATTTATTTTGATGTATAGGTTGATTTGCAGGTTGGTTGTTATTTGTATAATTATTGTATTGTTACTGTGTATTTTATTATATTAACTAGCTATTTATTCAATTAAAATACTGTAATGAACACTATACAATGTCTTTATTTTTGGTAGATACCAGAATACATGACACAATGAATCTTTGTAATATATTTATGTTCTCTTGTTTAAATAATCATACCAGTATTTAATGTATGCTGTTCACCTGGAATCCTGGTAAGCTTCCAGCATGGTATATTTAATACTATTATTAAACATAAACTGGTGATAGATGGATAAACCAGCCATCCTGGCCAGCTAAAGTGTCCAAAACCCCTCTCCAGCCAACCATTCCAGCCTAATATCTACTGGCTGGTCAATTTACAACAGCCTGACCAGCTACATTTATCTAAGCTGGTTTTTTCAGCAGAGTTATTATTTATTTACTATTTATTGAGAATCTCTATGAATTATAGTCAAATGTATATACCAGTCTGTGTTCTGTTGCCTGAGCCAAGTGTGCCTGCTACATTACGATGTATTATTATTGATTTACTATTTATTGAGAATCTCTATGAATTAAAGTCAAATGTATACCAGTCTGTGTTCTGTTGCCGCACCGGATCGCCGCCAAATCCAGGATCATCATCCCCATGTTCGCTCCCGTCTGTATCTCTACCGCTACTTGAATACTGTGGCTCAAACTGGTATGGTTCCACCACGTTAGACTCGCCCGCATGATCTGATTCCACCACACCGGCATCCTCTTCAATAAAATCCTCCTCTTCTTGAAAGTGCACCGAGTCTATTGACTACTCACTGTCACTCGATTCTGTCTCCAGAGTGCGACATCAGCCATATAGGTAGTGTATTATTCAACAAGTGTTCTACTCGTGACGTGCGTGACGTCACTAACCGGCGAAAGCTGTTTTGTTCGGAGCGGTCGTGTAACATCGGAAGCGAGCATGGAAAGTTGTAATAAATCACGATTTATAAATACAGCGGGCATATTGTCATGAATGACAAATTATTTCCCATTAATAATAGTATATATTATCGTAATAAGAACTGTATTGTCCTTCATTTCCTAAGCTCTTTAAACTGAAATGTTGCCAAAATAATGTTGGCAAAGGTCTCAATGATTATACTTCCTTTTATTTAGTTTGATGACTGTATTTACTAAATTTGTTGTGACATAACATTAATGAATGTCATATGTTATAATTAAACCACCTTAGTTCCCCACTAAATGGGTATTCTATTGCTAAATATTGTATGTTCTAAATTGTATCATGATTTCTCAAATCAAGGAACAATGGGGTACACCTCTATCAATTAAAGTAATAGGAAAATTAAGAAGATGAGAACACAACATTTTCAGCTGTCAGTGTTTGTTTATTAAACAATGCATAATGAACAACATGAAGCATGAAAGCTTCATTTAGAGGTGATGATACATCACAACAACAACTTGTAGATTTCTAGCACATGCCGTCCACCGCGGAGAATAAACAGAAGGGCAACCATGGCAACCATGCTCCGGGGTCTTCTTCACTGCTTTTGGTGTATTTTGTGGTGGCCGCAGCGCCACTTACAGGCCTGGCATATGTACTACAGCGTTTCCAGCATTTCCAGCGGTTTCGTGTGAACGGACACGTTAATTGAGCCGAATGCGTGTGAACGGAATACTTTTTTGAAAACGCATTAGGGATGGGAATTTGAAAGCAAATGTATATTCGAATATTCGACCCCCAATAAAACGGTTAACCGATTAACTATTAATTATAAAAAAAATAAAATGTGGGAAAAATGTTTACAAAAAAATTTCATTTGGAAAAATAAATAAATACATAATAAAATCAAAATCAAATAAGTATAGAAACCAAGTCGAATTTGTCAAATGTATTGAACTGGTAATCACAGTTTGAACAGTTGACAGCTATAGGCCTACAGCTTTCATGCTTAAAACATAACTTGGTTTTTAAATTAAAGAGGGATAATACACGAACAACATAACGGGTTAGGGTAACGTAACCCTATTACAACAGAGATCAACAACCTATAACAGGGCCTATGCACAGAATGCAGCTATTCAATACTCATTCTTGTTTAAGAATATGAGCATGTCTACATGCTCAGGGGAGAGGCGGGTGCGGAGGGGATTCACAATCAGGCCAGCTGTAGAGAAGACCCTCTCAGCTGGAATTTGGGCATAAGATGAGGTTTGAGTCTGCGTGATCTGCGAGTAGGGAGGGGCAGCAGCCATATAATTAGCTAGAACTAGCTAGATCTGATGGATTTGGACATAAACGCGAGTGAAGTATAACCGGAGGCGCGAGAGAGAGATTAGCACCTGCAGCTCTGCCCGCTGTGAGGGACCGGTGAGCGGAGCAAAACACACCTTTAGACCTAACACATTTAGCTATGGCACTGTCGTATACATTGAATTATTCCATTTGATAATATGTAATCAACTTAGGCACCCCTCCCAAAAAATCAAAAATCAAATAATAATATTCATAACTCATATTCGAATACCTGCATGATTTCGAATATTCGATTAATCGTTCCCATCCCTAAAACGCATACGGTGCGTTAACGCAAACGTTCCCGTGTAAATGGGGTTTCAGCCTATCAAAGAGCTCAGTGACGCAATAAATGATGCCACACGCCCGATGGTTTTATTGAAATGAGGGCAATGGTTAGATCCCAGGGGAACAGGTGGAGGACTGGGGGGGGTGATGGAGAGAGACACACAGAGCTCTGTGTGAATCTGGGAAAGTGGTGACCTTGTAGAGAGCAGATCTGCTGCCTGATGCTGGGATCAATGACTTTGACTGAACACACGCTCATCATCTCATCACATGTGGAGGTTGAAGCAGCTGTTTCCTGAAGTGTGCCAAATCCCTTTAGAGAATAATCTGCTGCTCGTGGGGTTAAGGATGATAATCATGCTAAACTGTGATCTCCTGAGTTTTCCCACACAATCTCTATTTACAAAAGAAAACTGTATATCAACATCCACATCGACATTTTGATTATCCACTTTTAACATTTGACCATTAAATCATTCCCTATATTCAATTTTTTTACACTGTACAATTCAAATAATAATCACAATATGTCAAACAAGCTTTATTAGGGCGTTTGCCAATATCTCACATTGTATGTTATTCAACATTTTTTAAATCCTGTATTGTTTATATAAATTATATATTGAGATAATAATTGATACTTGGATGTCGTCATATTTTGTCTGCAAAGACTGACCTGTGTCGTCTCAAAAATGTAAAATGTTCTGTTTCCCAGTGACTATTGTGACCCAGAAGACACATAGTTATATCGCAATTCCCCATAATTATGTAGTCTTACAATTAAACTAACTGACATAACTAATGCTGCAATACAGCATTGCCAGCCATTTTTTTATCATGGTAGAAAAACTTAAAAACATTAATCTATGATATTTAATTCATTAGGCTCACTAACAGAACCGTATTAGTGCAAAGGCTTTGCCAAGCAGTATTTATCATGTTGGAAAAACTTAACATAGATAATAATCTATGAAATTAAACACATTAGGAATTTAGCATTTAATCTCTTTCTATCGGGCACAGATCTATTGTCCCACAGGGCTCTGTGAGTGAGGTTCCTCCGGTTTCCCACACTCTGTCCTTTCACTGGAGGAACAATAGAAGTGTGCCTCATTATGCATCACTTTAAATACAATGTCTAATCTCTATAAAGTGGGTAGGTTTTTGTGTTAACCTTATACTTTTAAACATCAGCTTTTAAGAGTTATAACCAAATTGTCTTGCTTTAAAAAATATTTTTGAATGTACTTTGTCTTTTTTTAATTGAATACGATTAGAATTAGATTACTTTACAAATCCCTTTATTGCAAATAC